TTAAAGAAAATTAATAATAAAGAAATAATGACGGCATTGCTCGAACAAACAAAGTTTGCCAATCTTTTTGCTGATTGATTTTTAAACTCTGAACACAACTTTATTTTAGTTGAAAAAGTTGCCAGAGGCAAATGAAAAGCTCTAAAAATAAAAACATTTGGAAGAACTTAGACGTAGTTTTAGCAGTACTTTTGGCTTTTCTTGGGGCCAAGTTTAGACAAATACCCACAGATCACTGCTTACAATTATGAAAATCTATCTTGTGATTCAATAAATGAAAACGAGTCATAAACTTTCAAAAACGATGGCAAATCCGTAAATTTTCTAACCACAAATCCGGTCGTTTACGATTGAATCAAAAAGACCAAGTAGTTTCCTCTATTGATCGTTTGACGCTATTAGGTGAGAGGTTTGGTACGAGACTAGCATTGTCTCGCTTTATACCAAAAATGTTAACTGAACGGTGTTGAGTCGAGCCATAAGTTATGTTAGGGCTCTTCGCTATCTCTTTGACGCCAGCACTATGGTTTTCAAGCACTGTTTCTTTAACTTTTGCGATTTTACCGTCATTAGCAGAGATAGTTGGACGATTTATATGAGACAGTTTAATGTATTATTCTTTGAAATTTATTATTTCCCATTATACCTTAGACTACTAGAAATGTTGGATGTGGCTTGTTTTACTTTTTCTAAGATATAGGAGATCCCTACCCAGTCTTTTTTGAGTTATTTATTCTCAAATCGATGAATGTGATTATATTATTTACCTCACAGATTACACATCAGATCACATTGGCAATGCTGAAAGTAAGCAATGACCACGGTCGTCGGAAATTCATTATGACTCGATTTCCTTCTTTTAAAATCGTATGGTAAATTTTAAATGACAGCTCACTTTAATTTTATTTATTTTATTTTTAGGAAAATTATATACTTCCTGCTTTCGAATATATAATTGTTTTTCTTTTTATAACTCAATGGCCTAGTGGGGAAACGACTAATGAATGAAGGTGTTCAATAATTTTTCAGTTTCCGCAGAAGATTTTGTCTCAGCACTCATCAGCGCACACTGTCAAAGCTATTTTTGTTGTTTGAGTGAAAACCAAATTAAATTATTTTTGACTCAGGTATGCTGAAAAAATGGAGTGAAGCTGTTTTTTACATTAATTTATATCAAATTTAGTCAATATATCCTATTATTTGTTTTCGATTACCATCTTATTTGAAGTGTTTCACTTTAAAAATATATTTTTGCAATTTATACTACAAAGTGTCGCCAAATTTATAAATATGTACATATATATGTATTTAGCGAGATACGGACTAAGTTTGTTCGAATTAGCATATTTCTTATTTGAAATTCCATAAAGTTAAAGTCATGTCGACTTAAATAGCAAGAAATTGACAAACAAAAAATCTGCATGTACGCCAGCATGATGAGCTGAAGTCAAAATGTATATATATGGACATAACAAGTTTTTGGAAACACGTTAAAATGCAAATGACTTGCAAGTCCATAGAAACAAAGAGACTCGATGATGCCCAACGCTAGAGGCGATGTAGGTAAGGCAGTAGTTGAGAAGATGCTGCGGAGATTCACAGAGGCCACACACACACATGCAAGTAGATTTTCTTCAATTTATGGGTAATAGAAAAAGTTGAGATGATAGAAATGCAATGGCAGTTATGCTGACACAAAAATAATGACGATGACAGAAGTGTTGAACAAGTTATGAGATAAAATATACTACACATGGATGTATGTATGTATAATAGATGATTCTACAAGTACAAATGCTGCGGAGGGCTTTTATTGCCACAAATTTAATTTTTGCACCTACAGTTCAAATGCTTTCAAAAAAGAAGGATTTAAGAACTTGAAAAGTTTATTGGAGCTTAAAAGCGAAAATCTTTGATTTTGAAAGCGAGCTCAATTATCGATTTGTTTTGAAAAATTCATAATTTTTCTCAAGTGCTAAACAAATTTTACATTTTATCAGAACACTAATACGTTGTATATATTCCGAAACTAGAAAACTAGAGATCTTACAACTACCTAATGAGAGCGTTTAAGGTATTTTATGGGCAACTGTTCGTCGAAATATCGGTTTCAAATTTTAAAAATTACTCTAATACAAGATTTTAGAAGATATTATAACCTTTCGATTATTAGGTTATCAGTTTTTAAGTTCGAAAATTTCGAAATAAAGGTGATATCCCACCTACGAACTTTAAATTCAATTGCGACAGTACAGAAAGGAGGCATAGCCTTCGGCGAACCACGAGACATAGTCGAAACTGACATTGGCCGTCTCAACAAATTTATGATAGGCTTAAAGCGGCTTGTCGATTTGTAGGGCTCTTATGATCAATAATATTCAAGAGAGATCTCTGTTAGCATCGACCATTTAACCTAACCTAACCTAACCTCTTCACGCTGGGTTGCAAAAGCGTAGAAACGATGAGCCGGCTCTTGGTGTGAAAGAGAAAATTATTTTTGGATATCTAGGAGTCTGCGCTGTCTATGATATGTCTCCAGTTTGGACATAGAGGTATTATTATTGAAACTACTTTTTTTGTTAATTGGGCAGTGGTTTCCGAAACTAGTCAAGAAGAACTAGGTCCTAGCTGTCGTTGGAAAGATCGAAAGCGAATACGCTAAATCAATTCATCGGTTTAATACCGCTATATATGTTTTGAAAATACTAAAGTTCTTTTAGAACTGGGAAGTTTAACCAAATTTAACCAAACCAAGTTATCTAAAGGAAATTGAGTATTTTTAAAATATAAATTTTTAATAAAGAAAGACAAACCTATATTATTTTTATAAATGCAATATCTTTTTCAAATATTTTAAAGATTTCCTGTTATTTATGCCTCCCATTTTTCACATCAGCCACTCAAATATTTATTAAATAGTATTTGTTTTATTTTTTAGTATTTATTTTCATAATTTACTATTTATGTACACGAGTATATAAAATCTTTGTAAAGCAAGCTTATGAAATATTAACGTTAATCGCTTGCTAATGCTAATGTTGACACGATTCTAAATAATGGAAAATTCAATATTCTGAATCCCGCTCTAACTCAGCGTACATAAACTCATACATAATCTATTTTAGTTGAGAGAAAAAGTTGAAAGAGAGATGAAGCATCATAGACGTGTGCTGGTGTAAGTCGCGGAAATAAATCAGCTAAAAAGCATATTTAGCGTTTATTTTATTAAAGTCGTGAGAGACTAATTTAATGGCGATTAAATTGATACTGAAATGTGCGATTACAACAAAAATATTTTTTGTTCAGTTATGAAATTTATAATTTTTAAAAAATGAAGTAAGATAATGGGTATTATTTTTGCAATTATTAATGTTTTAACTGATGATTTTTACTAGACCTCTGATCCCATTTAACTTAGACCATAGCTGCTCTGTCTAAAGATTAAATGACGGAAAGACAGAAAAAATATTTTAATTTTTGCAGATCTGAAAACTTTTATTATCAGGGACAGCCTAAAAAACGTCTTAAAAAAACCACTACTGTATCGATTGTTTTGAAATTTTCAGCGTATATTTATACAATCTCTAAAAATACACAATAAAATAAAAAATTACTATTTATTGAGTTATACGACGGCGCTAAAAACAAGGTTCTCCAAAGCTGAAGTGAGTTCGGCCTTCTCCGTGGTTGAAACCTTATTCCATATTCTCGTTAAACTAGCAGATATTCTCCCAACAGTCCTGCGCCCAAAACAAAGCTCAAATTGACAAAAGGGGCGGCCACCCTTTAAATGGCTGTAACTCAAAAACTATTTTAGGAAATAAACTATCGAAAAAAAAAAGTTTTTTTTTTCAAAATTCCACACCAGGTGTGCCTAAGGGGCGATTATACCTGACGTCTTCTGAATAATCCTGTAACCATATCTAGTCTATTTATTTATAATATTCTTATGTTCACGAGTCTTCTATATCTCCTTGGAAGTATTGTTGTCTGTTAGTCGTCATGAAATTATTTTACTCGTCAGAAATACATCTGTGGCTTGATTGTGCACTTTGATAAACGACCTCTATTAGGAAACACTTTTTCGTAACGATAAATTTTCAGCTAGTTTACTGTATTGATCAGAAACCCATTTAGACGTAGTAGCGCCCTAACCATAAGTATAATGTAATTTCTTGAGTAAGTTTTTATGTTTGTCAACTCGATGAAATTACTTAAAAACTAAAGCATTATATTAACCTTTTCTCTCAAATCTTTGTACACATGTACGAGTATATGGTATGAAAGCTAAGCGTGCCGTCTTCGATTCACCGTTTTTGATCATTGACAATTAAAAAAAAATTAAATAAATCTAATTAACTTCAATTCACCACAGCTCTGCCCGCTTTATTGAAACTCTCTGCACTCTCATTATAAAAATTACTCGTGAAACCAAAAACAAAGTTCTCCACTTGAATTTAATATTACAAAATTATGTAGACAACGTGTTGAAGCTCATGAATGTGGCATTATCGGTTATTATTTAATCGCTATTTGATTATAATAGTCTAAGAAATTTATAACAGTTGTGTGTTCGATTCGCCACTTTTTAGCCTATTGTGTATATTAGAGATAAATGTTCAGATACCATAAAAAGCTTCTATACCTAGAAGCTAACATATTTACATGTATGTTTTGATTTCTAGTAAATATGAATTTATGTCTGCAATATCCTCTAATTTTCGGCTATCTGAAATATGTTTTGTTTCTTTTAAATTTTCAAATCTCCAAACTGTGTGTCGATTGCCTACATGAACAACATATTGTTTAAACACGCATACGAGTATGTAGCTATAAAATTCGACATTTGTGGTATTCTAGCTTCTAGCAACGATTGCCTTGATTATACTCAACATTTCCAATTAAGTGCGCAAAACTAGACTTAATTCACATTCGTAGAATTTCAGTTTAATTAAATTCTATTTTCACTTATATTTTCCATTATTGTGTTTCAATTTCAGATAACGAATGAAGTACAGTTATTAATTTGATTTTAGACGAAAGCAACATCATTTGCTGGCGGGAAAAAGGTAAGCAAAGATAAAAATCCTTTTATTGACCGTAATGACTGAAAAGTAAAGTCGATAAGCATAGAAAAGAAATATATGTTAATTAAATAAAGAAATCGGTTAAGAATATTTAATTGTTCAGGTAGATAATGGACAATTGAAAAAATATATGTTAATTAAATAAAGAAATCGGTTAAAGAGTATTTAATTGCTAAGGTAGATAATGGACAATTGAAAAAAATAGGAAACATTGAACGTAATTGGTTTTAAAACAAAGCGTTCGTTATCGAGCCAAGCTTTTAAAGACATTCACATTAAAGAACGGCGAAGCCACGTTTTTGAAACCACTTTTGAATCTGAAAGCATGTCAAATATGTTATCGAATAAGAAATCTAGACTGCAGTATACTTAGTAGTTATCAAACCAGTTTAGTCGATAGGGATTTGGTCCTTCCAGATAATTTGATTTTGAGGAATGCTGCAGAGTTAACGATGCATGGTGTGTTAAAAATAAAAGTCCGTTTCGATTATATAAGTGCGGCTGTCGTAGGAAGATTGATATCGTTTAGCCACTCACTTCTGCACAGACTCACATTTTTAACATATTATTATGATAATTTTGTCTTGCGTTAGAATTCTTTGTGGCGGTTAGAAAGCAGACTGAGCACATGTTATTATTCTTGGCTGAATGTTGTAAAAAACTCTTTAAGCAGGTTATGCATAATTATAAACAAAAGGTTATTTATAAATTAAATTAGCCGACCAGCGAAGGAACTAAACGGACACGAAAGGAAAATAACAACTTGAGAGTTGATAAATGGTGTAGGTCTAAGAATTGCTAAACACGAAAAATCTTTAATTTTCTAAAGTCGCTGAAAGTGCATGCTTCTTTCTATATTGACTTGTAGAAGCCTCTGTAAAATTTAAGGAATCCTCAGAAAAACAATCGTACAGTACTATAATTTTCGATTTTGGTTTACCCTGAATTCATAAAGATAGACTCGAGAATAATCAGGGAAATATTCTGCAGTCTTCCCTAGGTAAATATGTATGTATATAGTATATATATGTATATTTATATATATGTATATATAAATGGTCGTTTGTAAGTTGTTTGACTGAAGTCGATTTGTTAAGATCGTTCCGAGAATAATCAGAGAGTTTTTCTGCAGTCTTCCCTAGGTATATATGTATGTATATACAAATATATATTTGGCCGTTTTCTAGTTGTTTGACCGACGTTATTCTAGAATTTGTGGGCATATCCGATTCGATAAGGATTTTGTATTTTAATAGCAGCTCTTCCAAGCCAAATTTTTACTCGAAGGTTTGCCATTTCTTTTACGGCAGAAGGGGGAAAGGTCTATTTTCTATAACTTTAGACCAAGATTGGAATCCAGAAGCTACTAAGTGACTTCTGTGGTATATGATTGCTTTCTGTGAGTTTCGAAACGGGTCAATATTTTGGCGTAGTAACAACTAGTAACATTGAAGTGACTCTTAAAATCAGCACTCACGAGCTATATCTCTTCGTCGACGCCTTTGTAGAAAAATCAATTTCAAAAACTCTTTGGTCAATGCTGAATGAGAACTGTAGACAATTTTTTTTGTTTATTTCAAGCATTCACCATAGCTAGGAGTTGAACCCAAGACACAAAGCGTGGTAGTCACGCACTTGACTATGACAAACAGTTGAAACTCGCTCTTATTTGAAATCTAGCTGAATTTGCTCTAAAACCAACACAGTATATAAATCGAGCTGGGGACCAACATCCAGTTTATACCGAAGTATTGTCTGCCCAACCGAAGAGCACACTGGCCACAAATCAAATATTGGCTACACAGATTGCCAATTAAGCCACCGAATAAATAAAACGCTTCACCAGTGACTACCAGCATTAAAACAATAACAAATATAGCTATGCGTGTGTATATATACATATATATATTTATATATATATATATGGTATATGTGTGTTTATGTGTATGTGCGTGCTATAACCATTCGGCAATAAAATACGCAATGCTTGCTACCGTGCAATAAATATATAAATACATAAGAACACGCTACGCACAACATTCCGAGCCAGAGTCAACTATCTTGCCACGCACATATACACTCACACACACACACAAACATATGCATATTTGTAAACGCTTAAGCTGTGCGCCTGCTATCGTTGGTGTACACCCATTGCATGTCTAGAAAAAATTGGCAAAGCCAGCTTGGTGGCTGCCACGTTTACAATCCGGCTTGAAGCATACTTGCCACACCCGTGGCAGCCTGCCACATGTCTGCTGCTTTTATATAATTCTTTGCTTACCAGTTTTTACTTTTTTTATAATAACAAACAAACAAATGCAACAACAACAACAATTGCAATGAGTCTATGCGGCATAAAAGCTATATTTGCTGCCCGTCAGCTGCGCATTCCAACTCGTATCCTTTTATTTATTTGCTGCTGCTCATGTCATGGTCATCGGTCGTAAATTATTGCGCATCTATGATTTTAAGCAAATCGCTTTTATTGTACAACAACAAATCATGCGTAAAGTGTGCAAATGAGAATACTTGCATACAACTACCTTATTTACATACTTACATAACGTATTATACTTGTTTCTATATATATTGTATGTACGAGTACATATAATATAAAGGGTGAGACTTTTGGGAGCATTGCGCTTTTTTTAAAATAAAGCAGGAAAGTGTTAACAAAGTGGACAATAGCTTGGCATATTTATGGGATTTATTCTGTTGTAATTTCGGGTATATGTCCATACCGACTAAGTCTTATGAAGACATTTCTGTCGATACAAATTTGGTTCACTTTTTCTAATGTAGGCGCCTTTACCTCGCCAAGTACACGATTATACTTAACGAACCCCGACAAAAAAAATCTAACGGCGTCATATCATGTTGCCCAGACGATCAATTGCAATTACATTTCTTGTTTTGACTTAAGCAATACCACAATCACCATAAAATGACGGTTTCATCAGCAGTCTGGCTTGTTGGACTAACCCCAATAACCCTTCACCGCTTGGAGGTTATAGATTGTTATTGAGTGGGGAAGCAAAAAGCTGCAAAACCTTAGACTTTAGCGCACACCAATAACGGTAACGTAGGCTCTATATTCATGCAAAGAAAAAGTATCGTATATATAAGTTCAGTGGCGACTTGCCAGAGTTTGCTGAATATGAATGCCAAATTTTTACAGCTGCACTTTGACAGCTGTTGTGACGGCTATCACTGTAGGAAATTCTATATATATATTGTATATAAATCGAAAACAACACCCTTTATATCTGTATATATGTATATACATACATACATGCATCTTCCAGTGGAGCCATCTTTCGTCTAGCTATAATTAAAATTTGTTCCAATTTTACGGCCTACTGAATTGAAAGGCAAGATTAAAAAAATCGCAGTAAAATTGTTTTAGTTGTTTCTTCACGGAAATAATATTAATATTTTAAGAGATGACACAGTGTTGCTACTTCAATAGACGTAAAATTATTTTAGCACTCAATTTAATAAAAAAACTTCAGTTTTATTATAAATAATTTAGTGTAACTGTAAAAGTTGGACATTTATGCTCAGTGAACTTAAAAGAGCTTAGAGTACTACAATTATACTGCACATTTGGAATTAGTATATATGTGGACGATACAAATATAAAAAGCCAGAAACTACTTAAAAAGAAAAAATATTTATTTTGAGAACAAAAACTGTTTTTATTCTCTATATCTACCCAAAATGAACACGGTGAATTTGGTAAACTGAATCTTGAAACTCTTAGTCAAAGGGTACATATGTAGATTTATCTGTCCTCGTTTCAAGCAGATCGATTTATTCAGTGATGAATTCTGAATTCGAACCAATTACAACTCTTCGGCTGGCTTCAAGCATGGAAACTGAACATAAAGGTAGGAATCTAAAACTTAGGTATATTCACTCTTACAGGTGATCTTAATGCGGATGAATAAGCTGAAATATATTTTTATCAACTAACACTGAACCCAGTCAATAGTTCAGAATAAAGTTGATTTAAGCAAATCTCATTGGTGCAGATCGAGTTTAATCATTTTACCCTGAATACTGTATATTAAGTTTGCTACGAAGCTTGTAGCACCTTGAAGGAAACGTCGGATATAATATATCCTATAAAATATATATCTAAAAGATTTGCATATGAGCTGAGTCGATTTAGCCATGTCCGTCGGTCTGCCTGCCTGTCTATCTGTATATACGCGAACTAGTCCTTCAGTTTTGGATATATCGATCTGAAATTTTGCACACATCCTTTTACCCAAAGTATATAATTTTCCCACGGAACTTTCTTTTTCTCCTACTAAGTTTGGACACCTACTAAGGTTAGGACTTGCGTTAGCTTCATGTGTCACATTGACTTATCGAAGCTCCTCAAATTTATATATATAAGACATGGTTTAACAAAGTGGTCTGCGCCGGAATTTTGTGCTTTAAACTTTTACTATTTTAATCGGTTGCTTAAACTTCATATGATGGCAATTCTAAATTTATTAAATTCTCGTTAGAAATACTTTTTTGTTTTGGAGTGTTTAATCAGAAGTATTTTCAGACAAAAGAATATCCTACAATTATTTGTTAAGGCGATCCGATTACATCTATCCAATCACATTTCAATCAATCCTCAACAAAGTCCTTTCCAAATTTTCTTTGAGTTCAACCAACTGCTTACGAGCATTAGCCGTTTAGTGATGTATACTCGTTTTGGATAAACTTTGCGCTTTGTGATAATCTATTAGCTAAAGCTAAATGCTCAAAAAGCGATGTTTATATACGAATACGAGTATTTTGTTTTCACTCTTTGTGCTATATGACTCGTGACATTTGACTATATTTATTACCCTTCTTCGTCAATGTAACAACTAAGCTACTACCAATCGCCATTCGTTTAACTTTTCGCCAAATTTTTTTGATTATCCGTCCTACTTTTGTTGACTATCGATTTTTTTTTTGTGCATTTACTATGT